ATAGTGAGATCAGGTTGTCAGGTTCATCAGTGCACAACGCAAGGGCGCAACATAAGGGATGGCCATCACAGAGTGGCCAGGGGAGGAGCCAGGCCTGGAACTGCCCTCCCACTGCGCATCCTCAGCCAGAAAGGAGCTGCAGCCCTTGCCATCAGTGGCATCTGTTTCTCCTGGATTTGTGTATTGATCTTCCTTTAATAGAAAGTTTTTTATTGACCCTTGGTTCTTTTCGCAGAAAAAAGACATTAAGTACTTGCTTTTTTTGGTTTTCCCATGGTAGCCACTTGGGTGAGGAGGCAGAATTTTAACCTCTTGCTGATTTTGTGTGTGGGTGTGTGTATTTGTGCATTCATTGTCTCTCTTGTATCTTGAGGGAATAAATCCTGCTCTAGAATCTGGACTTTAGAAGAGATTCCCAGAGGCCAACTGCTCAGGCCTTTGCCCCCAGACAGGTCTTCATCTGAATGGAGACAAACATTTCTGAATATACCCTGGGTGCATCTGGAGGGTGTAAGGGAACCTGAGTGGGTGGGGCTCTGGGCTCTGGATATTTCATGTTTGCTTGAAAGAACTGTTTCCCATATTGAGACTTTGAGTAATGTTTCATTAGCTAAAAATGCTTTCCTCTTGTGAAGCGAAAGGTTAAAATGACTGGTCTGTGCTACCTAGGAGGGACTCATATTCTCTTTTGGAAAAATTTCAGAAATGAAAAATTTGAACCCATTCTTCTTGCTTTCATAGATTGTTTGGCTAGTGATAATCTGGGGGAGAGAGAGAGGCAGGGCTGAGTAACTGTGAAGACAATGGAAGTAGGATTTCTTTCTTTGAAATTCAGCAGGCATTTCTAGAGCTTGTTGCGTTTTCATAGCTCCAGGCTGGCACCTCCTGGAGCTGAGCAGCATAGTCACCTCATATGACCCCATGGGTAACACTGCTCTGAATGGCACTGCACTAGGGATGCAGGACCATGAGACAGGAAGAGATCAGGTCTCCTGCCCTTGGAGCTCGTTGTCATTGTTCATTGCTAAGTGGTGTCCCACTGTTTTGCAACTCCATGGACTGTAGCCCACCAGGCTCCTCTGTCCATGGGGTTTCCTAGGCAAGAATTCTGGAGCGGGTTGCCATTTCCTTCTCCAGGGGATCTTCCCAACCCAGGGATTGAACCCATGTCTCCTGCATTGGCAGGCGGATTCTTTACCATGAGCCGTCAGGGAGCCCTAAAGAAATAGTCCTTAACTGTTAAGGTTTGATGGGGGTCAATGCACATTTTCTTTCCCTGTCCATGATCAGAAGCAATTGAGAGAAATTCAGGCATTAGGAAGGTTCAAATATCACCTTGATGACTGGTAAATCTGATCCTAGAGGATGTATTTTATATCTGTGGGAAGGTGAGTTTTTAAAAGTGAATACTAGAATCAAACAGACTTATCCACCCAACACAGCTGTCTACTAAAAAAACTTAGTCACAGTCTGAAAATTGAGAGTTATTTTATTTGGTGGGAATGTTAAGGGCTCCAAATCCAGGGGGCAGAATCTCAGTAGACCTGAGAAAACTGCTCTGAGGAGGTGGGAGTGGGAGTCAGGTTATATACAAGTTCACAACAAAGTGGGCAGGGAGTCTGACCATCAAAGATTACTGCTACATTGTAAGGAACACCAAATATCAAGCTAAGGGATTTAGCTTTCTTTGTAAGAGAAGATGCAAGCCTCTGGGCTCACTGAATTCATTCCGTTCACATGTACCTAAGCTATCTAGGGCCAAACCCTGGCTTAAAAAAACTTTTTTTTAAAAAAATTTCTCATATCCTGTCCCCCACTAAGCCCCCCAGCTCTTCAGCAATCACTGTTAGGGGTGACAGCATTTGCTGGATTGCAGGCCCTTTTGGGAGCCTTCATTCACTCAGATGGCAAAGAATTCGCCTGCCAATGCAGGAGACCTGGGTTCAGTCCCCGGGTTGGGAAGATTCCCTGGGGAAGGGAATGGCTATCCACTCCAGTACTCTTGCCTGAGAAATCCCATGGACAGAGGAGATTGGCAGGCTACAGTCCATGGGGTCACAAAGATTCAGACACGACTGAGTGACTAACACTTTGATTCACTTATGGTGGCTTGGAACTGCTGATGGCTGTAACATTTCTTGCCCACCGATATGGCAGGGCTATTCCCCTGCCCTCTGACCTCTCCCCTAACATTTATAGAATGGGGAAGTAGAGTAGAATGCTCCCTAATCTCTTAAAACAGCAGAGGAGAAAAAGTGGCCAGGCTGCACACGTCCAGTTCTTACCCCCATATTGCCAACCCAGGGGAAAGGTCTGGAGTGTTACACTCAAAGGTGTCCCTCCACAAAAAACGCCAGGTATGGGAAAAGGAGGGCTTCCCTGCTGGCTCAGATTGTAAAGGGTCTGCCTGCAATGCAGGAGACCTGGGTTTGATCCCTGGCTCAGGAAGATCCCCTGGAGTAGGGAATAGCAACCCACTCCAGTATTCTTGCCTGGGGAATCCCGTGGACCAGGTTCCCACCCTCAACAAGCCGAAGTGATCAGCTGGAGAGGAACTCTTAAAGTAATAGATACTGACTATATGAATTTTTGGCACAAGAAACAGATTTGGATATTGAAAAGGAATGATCGAAATAGTGCGTGTTAGTCGGGGAACATTTCTGGAAGGAAGCAACGGGCCGCTTGGTAGAGAGACGGGCACAAAGCTTTAAATGTATAGAAATGGGGGAAAGTTCTTGAGGAGCTTGAACTATGGTAAATGAAAAAGGCCTCCCAACGTGACAGATACAGTGGCTCTGTGACCTGGGAGATGTGGATTAGTGTCAGCAGTCTAAGTGGTCATAAAGATTAGATGGCACAGCCCCAATTGGAACAAGTTCACAGACACCAGGCCAGCTGGTGCAGCGCCGTGGAAGGCCCACAGGAGGCAGTTATGACGGGGGTGGTTCTGGGGATTCCAGCGAGACCAGGCTCCTGGCAAGAGACAGCGTGAGTGGGGGGCCTCTCTTCTGACTTATTACTAGTTTGATAAATCGGGTTGCTTTCTCATTTACCCAGCTGAAAGAATATAGCTTTTAGCTTAGTTTTCTTTAGAGCAAAAAGTAAAGTGTTTTTTTTCTTCTTCTCTTTGTTATATCAGCTAGGATGCAACTGAGAGCTGTGTGTATGTAGGCTCAACTGGTAAGATGATTTTTCTTGAGTTTTCTGTTGCTTAATTGAAAGTGGGTTAAAATCCACTTCAGGTTCTAAGGAGGATCCTGGGAGGAATAGTAACACAGACCTTCCAAAAACAGTGGACAATTCAGAGGCCATGTCTTTCTTGATTTTGGAATTACTATATGATTTTTTTCTTTTCTGGTTGTGCCATGCATCTTGTAGGATCTTAATTCCCCAACCAGGGATCCAACCCTGGCCCTTGGCAGTGAAAGCATGGAGTCCTAACCACTGGACTGCCCCAAACTGATTTTCAAAACACATTTTTCTTAGGGTGACATTATGGTATATTCTAAGAGTACCCAGAAACTGGTAGGTAAAAAGGGAAGGGACAATAGAGGTTTAAAATTAACTGTGGATGAATATATAGACAATCAAAATTTAAGGAGAACTTAGTCCTGTCTAATCCATTTGCTGCCTGTTTGACCATACGTGGTGGGGTTATTCATGGTGGGGTTATAACTTAACTGTTAAGTTAAATTGATTAATCCTAGTGTTAATCAGAGATATCTGTCTGTGTCATATAGTAGAGAGTTTGTTGTGACTGTAGGCAGAGACCTAGGTGACCAGTTGAGAATGTATTTCCATCTGCTTGCTGTCTCCTAAAATAAAATAATAAAGGTAAAATGCTGAGTCCAGTGCCTTGTGCAAAGGAAGCTTCTCTAAGACTTAACAACATGGAGAAATATCTACTGTATTTTAATTTGAAAATGGTTATAGAATGGTATGTAAAGCAGTATCCCAGCCAAATAGCTGTTTAGTTCCTATAAGCCAGATGGTGTTTTAGGAATTAGGTGCAAGAACTGGAGGAAGTGAATCTACCATTGCTTTGTGGCCTGTTTAGTTTTCTTACACAAGAGAGGTTGGTGCATCTTGCTATGATGTCCTCAGTAGATAGAAAACATCTATTTCTTTTCCCTCTTTATTTTTTTGGGGAGCCAGAGACTAATTTTGTGCAGATATTTGTCCGGAGATACAAGAGTAGGTGACCTCTCTGAGAGGTCAGTCACATGAGCCCGGCCCATCTTCTCCTCCTGGGGTTTAGGGCAGTGCTTTGGGGGAGCTCATATATCCCTCACTTTACCCCAGGAGCAAGGTTTGGAAGTTGAAACACGTTCACCGAACGTTCTAAAGCACTAAGTAATCGCAGCCCAAACTGCTCCGGAGACCTCCCTGTCTGGGGAAGCCTTGGCTGGGAGAATCATGGTGATTTTCCTCCTTTCTTAGTGTGTCCTTGTTTTGCATCGTGTTGGACCTTTGAGATTTTTATTCTGGGGAGAAAGACTTAGAAACGTAGTTTCTAGCCCATGGTCAAGTAAGCATTTGAGTCACAGTGATGGGTTTCCCAAACCAAATTTTGGCACCGGAGCCTTCAGTAATGGAAATTTGAGTTCTCTGCTCTGCTGACCATGGATGGCGCCACCCATCTGGCCCACACTCCTTGTTTGGTCTCTATATGCCCTAAGGTAAGTCTTTAGGTCTCTGTACCTCAGTTACTTCCGTAAGATCAGGAGGCATTTCCAACCCATTTTCTAACCATTTCACAAGGGTTAAGAAATCTGTACTTACAGAATTATTTGAACAGGAGAACCTCCCCCACTGAGTAGTTACTATGAAACTTTTATTCCAGCAAGAAGAAAAATTAGTGGTGTAAAACCCCAGAACCTGAAGGAATGAAGCCATTCTAAAAGTGAATTGATGTTTGTGCCAATTCGTTCCCAAGGCCTTATGTAAGTCCCTCTAATGAGAGTGCAAATTACTGACCAACCTTTTGATATTTCTTTCAGGGACACCTGTGTGGTTCTTTGTGAAAATTGCTCCAATTCGAAATGAACAGGATAAAGTGGTCTTATTTCTTTGCACTTTCAGTGACATAACTGCTTTCAAACAGCCGATTGAAGATGATTCATGTAAAGGTTTGTAATTCTGATTTGTACAAATACTTTTAAATCTTTTTTATTTTTTTGTCTATAGTGTGACTCTTTGTTACAGAGAATTTGAAGTTGCCACAGCAATCTCTGCACAAGGACCAAGATTTAAACTTTAATTTGTGTTGTGTAAAGCATTGTATCATTCTGGAATGCACTGAGGGAAACGAAAGTGAAGAAGAAAGCTTTGGTTAGGAAGGCATTTTAATCAGTTTCATACCCCTGGAGATTAACCCTTTCCAAGTAGACAGAAGAAGGTAATTGGGCACCTCTGGTATCATTGGAACCTTTGCAGGTTTTCACATGACAGATGTCAGTTAACCAAATGAGTGGCTCATGACCACATTCATCTTACTTCTATATACACTTCTTTAAATTTGACTGAGTTCTAGCATTTTCAGAGTGTTGAAGAGATTTTAGCACATCGCTACCTCTGTGGTTGATTAAGTCTGTGGCTGGTTAATTCATTGGAAACATGGCATTAATGAGGCCAGAGTCTTCAGTAACATTCCCATATGGGTCATTTAATCAGCTTGGGAACCACAGATTTTAGCACTCACCTCAGCTGTATCACATACACGTATTGTTTGAATAACACTGGGAACCTAGGAGAGGAGATGGCTCAGGATTTCTAGAACATCGATACTCCTGAAGTGGTCCAGCCCATTAGGCTGTCAAAATTAGGATGTTTCAGAGCACTCTTTTCAAAGATAGCCAAGAGGCCAGGAGCTCTTTCTCACGGCAGTATTTCCTGGCTGGGCGGCTGATTTTCCAGTTCTACCTGAGACCCTGCTCCTTGCATTTTTCTGAGATGCAGCAGAGAGATAGGAGTGAAGTTCAGGGAAAGTAAAACTGGGGCATATTATCCTTGATGTGACAAAACTGTGATTGTTAAATGGCAAGAAAGGAAGAAATAAAAAGCTTTCCCTGGCTGCTCCCTCTGGGGCTGTGTCCTCTGAGGATGCATAAAGTCCTACCATGTTTGGATGCTCATTTTTATAGAGTTCAGAGCACAATGCTGTGCATACCAGTGCATCCTATTTTTTTTTTTTTCTTTTTACTATCTATAGCTCAGTAAATCAACGACAGCCTGCCTTTGGGTTTCAAGACCAGAGCAGATGTAAATAAAGTCTCTCCACTTGTCTCAGCCTCCTGCAGTCTCCTTTTCTCCTGCAGATTTGTGATTCCCTGATTTCTGGTTTCTGACTCGAAGATTTCTCAGGGCAGTGGCTATCACAGGGCGATAGACTCACTCATGATGCATGTCATCCTGTTACCATCTAGAAAGTGCGTTCACTTTTTTAACCAGGTAAACACATAAATAGCATTTGAAAGATAATCTGATATTTTGACACTTATTTTTGCAAGTTTTCTCTGAAAAAATGTGAACTAGGGGATGTAGTTGAGTCAACATTTTCTTATCACCACCACTGGAACATTTTCAGGTGACGAGAAGGGACTGTTTAGCAGGAAAGGCTGAGTCAACTTAGAGTACCCACCACATGTGCCTAGGGGTCCGCATGGCATTCTCAGGGAACCTGAAAGAAGAGACGAGTCAGACTGATGCAGGGAGACTCACTGAGGCTTATTTTTCATGCATAAAAATTCTCCACTTCATTTGTCCTGCCTCACTCATGTCTTTCCCTTGTGGATAAAAGTTTTTGCGCGCACACACACACACACACACACGCACACCCTATTCCCTGTTAGCCAAGGGAACCAGATACGAATTCTCTTTGTCTGTGAAATACATAGGAGTAATACATGGCTTGCTTCCTAAAAATTTAAAATATACATGTGTGTGCACGCACACACAAGTACACACTCTTTGGCCCTCAATATAGGAATGCAGATGGTGGATCATGTATAATGTTTCCTCCAAGACAGTACTTTATAAGCCTGTCCATTTCAAATGCTATGGCAGATATGTTTAGACCTTCCCACTCGTCATGACACCATGCCTCTGATGCAAGTGGATATGGTGGTCTGTTTAGGACGAGGTCAGATTTTATATTAGTCTGTTGATGATGGAAAAGCATGATAATTCTCCAGGTCTTATTTGTTATAAGTCTATAAACTGCAGTTCTGGCTGCAAGGGTCCAATATAACGATGGGAAGATGTCTTGTGGATGGAAAATGCACTGCTCTGTGACTGGGTGATTCTCCTGACTTGACATTTCTCCTTGGAAGTGTTCTCATATTGCGAGATTCCAGCTGGTTCAGCTGGGCTTTTAGTGCAGCACCTCAGTTAGCATAAAAAGTCTGAGTGTTGGTGACCCAGGCTTGTACAGAATTCATCTTTTTTTAAAAGATGTATTTACTTTGGGCTGTGCTGGGTCTTTGTTCCTGCACGGGCATTCCTCTAATTGCAGTCAGCAGGAACGACTCTCGTTGTGGCGTGTGAGCTTCTCATTGTGGGGGCTTCGGGCTTCAGCAGCTGTAGCAGGCGGGCTCCATAGCTGCGGTTTTCCGGGTTCTACGTCAGAAGCTCAGTAGTTGAGGCACATGGTCTTAGTTGCTCCATGGCATGTTGGGACCTTTCCGGACCAGGGATCAAACCCATGTACCCTGCATTGGCAGGCAGATTCTTTACCACTGAGCCACCATGGAAGCCCATAGAATTCACATTTGAGGTGGAATGGAAGGATGGATAATTGAAAAACCCAGAAAATNCCGGACCAGGGATCAAACCCATGTACCCTGCATTGGCAGGCAGATTCTTTACCACTGAGCCACCATGGAAGCCCATAGAATTCACATTTGAGGTGGAATGGAAGGATGGATAATTGAAAAACCCAGAAAATCCCCAGGTATTTGCTCTTTGGCACAGCAATACGAGATGTTTTCCCATTAAAGTCAGCTATGCTCAGATTGTCTTTAAAATGACTTTGTTTTCTCTGATTGGTTTGTGCCTAACTTCAGGGCTTGGGAGTGGGATGAGTGCATCCTAACAGTAATTTGAGAAGCCAGTTGTTGCCTCAAATTTTCCCATGAACAACCCACAAAGGGGAGAACACACAGGATCATTGGTGATAGACTATTTTAGCGTCTGACACAAAGTAACTCCATTGGCCCTAAGCTCCAATCACATGTGATGGGCCCTGGGTATGCTCTCTAAGCCCGCTCTTTTATTTAGTGTATCAGTTCTCATGACCCTTTTCATGAATTATCTAGACCTCTGATTGCCTCATCTCCTCCTTCCTGTTCATCTTTTGGCTGTTTCCCTTGTTCTCTGATAAAAAAAAGTGCCCACAAATGGCATGGAGCAAGGGGGTGAAAGTCAAGCTAGCTTTGCTGTTTGGTAACAGCTCTAGTGTATGTGTATGCATGTGTGTGAGGTGTGTGTCTGTGTGTGTGCATGTGTGTGTGTTTGACGGCTGAAGGAGAGAGTAGGTGGGAATTCTTGGTTGAAATGAGACTCAGGGACGCTCCAAGGTTTCATTTGTTCCCCATCTCTTGCTCTTCTGTTACTGTGGATCACTGGGAGCGGGCTGCAGGCTGTTTGTCTCTGTTGAATCCGCCCTTGTAAACCAGGCAAGTGCGTAGAGAAGAATTAGAGTGTGGGGCTCAGAGTTTTTTCCACATTGTTCACCCCACGATGAGTCACCCCTCTTGTTTGCTCTCTTACCTCACTGAATAATCTCACATTAAAGGAGCAAATTCATTTTCAAAGATCCACACACTTACTTCTAAATTCAGGGTTAAAAATGAGCCAAGAGTGGACAACAAAATGAATGTAAAACTCTGAAGGGGATTTTTAAAGGCCAGTGGTCTAGAGTATTCAGGACTGAAGGCTCTGGCAAGCTGCCCTGACTGCTGACCCTTCTCCACGAGGCTTCACGTACGTAGGGGTACATATGAGGTGCTCTCAGGGAAGAAAGAGGCTAATAGATACATAGCACAGGCCCCCTCCTCCCCAGTAGTCACATTTTCTCTCTCTGTCCTTAGGATGATTGGAAGGTGATGATGTAGTGACTTCTGCTTGAAGAAGCCGCCCTAGAGTTTTGGTCGTTGGTACGCCGATAGGAGAAAGGTCTGGGGGCAGGAAGGTTTGAGGACACCACGGCAGTGTCCACACTGACTGGTGGTCCCCTGCGTCCTTTGTTATCTGCTGGGTGTTGGGTTATGGCTCCAGCTCCTCTAAGGGGCCCCGTGACTTGTCAGATTAGGATGAGCCTGGCCTCCTGGCCTCCACCCTCCCAGGGCAAGGGTAAATACTTTAAGGAGTCCCCTGCAACTTCCCTTCCAAGTGTCTCCACGTGGTTTCCCAGGGAGGGGCCTCTAGGTCTGCGTTTCTAGTATCTCTGGACTGGCCCTGGGAGGAGCTGGGATTTCAGCTCATCTTAGAACCATCTCTCCTGGCCTAGGGAGGATACAGGGATGTATGGGCTAAAGGAGCCTAGTGGGGGACTCATCCCAGCTGAAGCCAGTAGCCAGTGTGGGCTCAGGTAAGGGAGAGAGTGTTGTCCTTACTGAGAATGGAGACAGGACTCGGTGAATACTTTCTAGCTGCTTGTTAGATTGCAAACTGCGTTCCCCTCCTCCTGTCCTCCGTTCATGCTTTCTTCCCCCCCTCCTCACCCCTCTTATCTTGCCTGATCATGTGATGCTTTGATCTTCTCATGACACCCCCAGCCCTACCTGCCATGTGGTGACCTTTAAGACAGAGCTAGAAGAACCCTGAGCTGGGGATTTCTTCATCTGAGCTCAGTTCCCTGTTGAACTCCCAAATGGAATATAATTGGAAGGGTGGGTACAGAAATACCTCCTAAAACTGAACAGAGTTTATAAAATGGGCTACTTTTCCTTTGGGACTTTATGTCTACTGGAAACCCAGATAGAAGTAGGACAATGGGAGAAAACAATTTGTTCTTCATCCACGTTTATTCAGCATACACACTTACTGGGTGTCTTTGGGGGATGTTTAGCTTTATGATCAATGCTGACCCTCAGGAAATGTAAGACAGAGACCCTGCTCCTTATAGTCTATTTGGGAGATGGGCAGACAAATAAGCAAATAAGAACAATAAAGCCTAACCAATAATCTAATGGGAGCCTGCCTAAGGCAAGTAGGGGTACATAGGTGGGAGCCGGCGATTCGGCTGGGGGTAGGTGGTATCAGGGAAAGGCTTCCTTGAAGGCAGAGGGGTCTCCCAGCTGCCTTACTTTCCTTGTGGAAGTGACCATGTGGCTTGCCTTAACAAGACCACCTTAAGCTTGGTTGTCATTGAGTTGTTCTCTCCCAGCTGGCCCCGTCGGCCAATAGGAAACTGAGTATTTCCAGCAGTGTCTTTCCCGATGCTCTGCCGTAAGGGACATTGTTGGTCCAAAGGGTACATTTATCTTCTACCAAACCCATTTGCTTCTCTTCTGTGTTTTCTTAAATTTTTTATTGGTGTATAGTTAATTACAGTAGTATGTAAGTTTCAGGTGTAGAGCAAAGTGATTCAGATGTGTTAATACTTGCATGTATATACATATAAACTCTTTTTCAGACACTTTTCCGTTACAGGTTATCACAAGTGGATATATTTCCCTGTGCTGTGCAGTAAATCCTTGTTGTTTATCTGCTCTGTGTATAGCGATGTGTGTCTGTTGATCCCACACTCCTAGTTCTCCCTGCTGCCCCCTTTGGTAATGATAAATTTGTTTTCTATGTCTGTGAGTCTGTTTCTGTTTTGTAAATAAGTTCATTTGTATCATTTTTTTTAAGATTCCACACATAAGTGATGTCATATACTTGTCTGTCTCAGTCTGACTTACTTTCTCCCATGTTTGCTATCTTATTGCATGGCCATCACCCATTATGCTTATCACCCAGTATGGCTACCAGCCATATTGCATGGCTAACCGGGGACCCAGAGGCCACTTGGATCGCCTCCTCTCTCCTTCTGCAGTCATTGATTCTACCTCTGCAGCTGTTTCCAAATCTCCCCTTGTCTCCTGGCTCAGGCCACAGCACTGGTCCAGGCCCTCATGGTGTCTTGCCTGGGATTCTGACTGCTCTTCTATCTGTTAACTACTTCCACACTGCCATTCTCTCCTAAAATGCCCCCACCATATTTGAACTCCTTTACTGGATTCCCTTTGGATTTCAGGTTGAAGTTCAAATTTGTTAGCTTGCTGTCTAGGTTCTTGCACCTAAGTTCTTCTTGATCTGACCCTTGACGACTTCTTTAGCATCACTTCAGGCCACTGCCTGCATTCTCCTCCCCTCTGCATGCCATGCACCATTCATCAGGCTGTTTAGAAGATCTTCCTTATCACTGACATGTTACTCTGCTTTATGATTTTTCTGCCTTCACGGGTGCTGTTCCTTCTGTGTTGGATTGTCTGTATTTTCCTTCCTGAGTTCAACTGGCTCCTACTCATCTTTGCAAAGTTTGCTGTAGTATCACTTCCTGTGGGGAGCCCTCCCTGATAGCCCAGCCTGGATTTGTTATGCCTTCTCTGGACAGTTTTGTCTATAGCATCCTGTACTCATGTGTTATAGAATTTAGCTTACTATATCATGGTTTTTAATTTACTTATCAGTCTTTTCTACTAGAATACAAGCCCTTTGAGGCCAGAATCTGTGCCTTACTCATTTTAGCAACCCTAGTACTTGGCACTTTGATGGTACATAGTAGTTATGTTTGGAATTAATATGTGAATGAATGATGTTCTTCCATCTGGCTCAGCATGATTCTTTTTTTTTTGTTGTCNTAATGTTTCTGCCATGCCATCGGATGGACCAGGACCCCAAGCCCTGCCAGGCGGGGTCTGGGATATCTGCCCTGCCAAGTCCCTCTTACTGTTGGTCCCAGAGTGTAGGTTGCGGTGGAAGTGGTGGTGGTGGTGATGAGTAGGACTGAATGGGGAGGAGGGCGGTGAAGAGCCCTTGCTGATGTTTTTGTGCACAACTGTTTTCTCCCCACCTGAAAAATAGACTTCCTTCTCCTCTTGAAGAGCTTTGCAGAATTCATTTCCAGTTTTGTTTTGAGCTGAAGGCTAGCCTGACTCCAAAAGAAACTTTAAAAGCTTCTAGCCCATGGTTCACACAAGCGAATTCCAATGAGCACTTTCATAAATGGCCGATTTGGGGGAAGATGTCAAAGGCCCCTGGAGAGTCTGGGCTGTCCCCTTCTGTCAACACTAGCAGGACTCCCCGCAACCTGACCACCGTGGGCCTCTTTTCACACTGACCCCAGCAAGTCCTGTTTCTCTACTTAATGGTGTTGGAATGGATGAAAATGCCACTACCTTTTATTATAGCCCAGAACTTCTGGAAGAGATAAAAAGACCTGATTTGCTATTCTTGCTATATTGACAAAAATGTGTACAGATTTTGATCCTTAAAGGTTGTGCAGAAAAACAAAGAGCCATCATTCTGCTTGCCCATTGTCCTCTGGGTTCTGTCTGCCTTGGAAAGGTGCTCCAGGTGAAGTTTGGTAAACGAGATTTCTGCTGCCAGGCACTGACTGCTGCTAAACTCTGAAGTATAAAATATAATATTACCCAGTCTTGCTTTTAGCTGCCAATAGAAATAGTTGCCTGCTCTGTTTATTTAATATACACCACTATCCAGGTCTTTGGAGATCCCTAGCCCCAAGATTGGTTTGGAGAGCCCCTACAGACTTTCAGGGGTCTCATGAGATGATTGCTGTGGTCATAAGCTTGATGCAGATGGCTTGTTGGATGTTGTAATGGACAGTTGTCTCTGGGGACCTTTAAAACATCCCTCACGCATCTTAAATTCCTAGTAAGGATCACTTGTTCATTTTAGATTTTGGTGTATGGAGGTGTATGGGAGGATTAGAAAAAGCCCAATGTTTTACTTTCCCTGGAGGAACTAGTCCAAAGGGCCAAGGAGGCCTCAAGACAGTGTTTGTCTTAGCCCACTACTACTCGGAGCCTGCTAAACTTTCCTTGCTTTCCCAGGAAAGTGCATCCTGCACTTAAAGAATGTAGGTAGAGTATTTTAAGTTCCACTTTACAGATGAGATAACTGAGACCCAGGTGACTTAAGCAATTTGTTGGTGGTCACAAGCAAGCTAGAGGCAGAGATGGGACTTATATCCATATTTCTTTACTCCAAGTTCAGTGCTAGGCTCACTGAGGTTCTAGTTTTAAGGAGACCTACATGCTATCAACTATCCTTCCCTCATCCCAGAGCAGACTGAAATCAGCCAGTATTATTTCCTCACCTCTCCAGGGGTTGAATTCATTTCTTATTCCCCTGGCTTTGGAGAATGTCGTACATGGAATGACCGTGTGACTCGCTTGTCTAGTTATTTAAAACCTAGAGCCAGCTTGGCCTCTGCTAGGATCAGACAACATGGGGCTTGCAAGCAGCCTCAGCCATACATTCAGAGAAACATCTCGACTGCCTGGTATTATCTGGCAGAAAAGCCTTGGGCCAGGGTGGAGCGATCTGAGTTCTAGACTCTTTAACTGCCTAGACACTCTGCACTCCGTTTCCCTATTTGTAAAATAATGCTGCCATCAGGACCTGCCTTCCCTACACCGCAGAGCTGTGATTGGGATCGAGTGAAAGCCCAAAGGGAAAGTCCACTGCTGCCCAGGGTGCAGCGCGTGCGTCCGGGGCTTCTCTGAGCAGCGAGCTTTGACGCCGAGGATGACTGAGTGACTCACGGGTGCGCAGGAGGGAGGGGTGGGGTGGGGTGCCCGTAACTTGTGGTGTGAATGCCCGAGTGCCTTCAGGACCCAGGTGAACCTGTCTCTCCTGTCTCCCGCATGCTCCAGGCTGGGGGAAGTTTGCTCGGCTGACCAGAGCACTGACTAGCAGCAGGGGTGTCCTGCAGCAGCTGGCTCCCAGCGTGCAGAAAGGCGAGAACGTCCACAAGCACTCCCGTCTGGCCGAGGTAAGGGCAAGGGCTCCTTCAACCTAACCCTCCCCTCACTTCAGGGGGTCCCTGGGCTGGAAAATGGTCCACAGGGAGGGTGCTGGCTTGGAGGGGGCCTTCCGGACTCCGGACTCTTGTCTTGGCTGAGCTGCACTCCACCGTGTGTGGCTCTGGGTAAGTGAGCTAACCCTTGTCAGCTTTGTACTTTCCCATATGTAAAGGGGAACTGCAAACTCCATTTGAAGCTGCTTGAGATAAAAGGTGTTGGTTGACTCTTGGGAAGGAGATAGTAGTGCCATATATATGAAGGGGGCTTTACTTATAAGCCTTTGGTATATGGTGTTTTAGCAATGCATACTATTATAGGAAAAGAAGATACAGGAAACAAAAAGGAAGAAAATAAAAATCACTTAGAATCCCACTAGCCAGGTAACATTGTTATAATTTTTATGGGCTTGCCTTAGCTCTTCTTTGTATTTAAGAAATATTCTATTTCCTCAAACCTAAGCAGTATATTTTTTCGCTCTAATGGAGTTGAGATGTATCTGAGAATCAGTATGTGCATTTAAAATGGATTATATTGCCTTTTCTTCATTTTATAAAATTATCAACATGTGAAAAAAAAAAGTGAAAGTGTTAGTTGCTTAGTCATGTCCAACTCTTTGTGACCCCATGGACTGTAGCCCACCAGGCTCCTCAGTCCATGGAATTCTCCAGGCAAGGATACTGGAGTGGGTAGCCATTTACTTCTCAAGGGAATCTTCCTGATCCAGGGATCAAACCCGAGTCTCCTGCATTGCAGGCAGATTCTTTTACCATCTGAGCCACCAGGGAAGCCTGATTATGAAAGTTTTCCTGGATAATAAATATACTTAATATTATTGTTGTTTCCATCACCTTTCTGGCAAAGAAAACTCATGGTGGTGGTGTTCCTCCTTTTGCTGGGACAAGTGAGAGTCTGGGAAGCTGGGACAAGATGTTTGATCAGGCTTAATGCACCCCCATGATTACTGTCTGTCTTTGGTGGTTTTGCCTGCAAACCACTCTCATCTCCCTCCTTTTGTTGGTGCCTGATATTTTTCCCAACTAGACCAAGTAAGGTCTAGTTAATTAGTAAGACCAATTAAGAGCATTACACCTTCCATACAGCAAATTTCCATCATACCCAAAGATGCCAGACTTAGCTGTCTCTCTGCCTGGTGGTGGCCCATCAGTTCTTAATCTGTGAGCAGAAGGCAGGGTGCTTCCTGACCTGCCTCTTGGCTCCCATAGCCCTAAGGGAGATGCTCCCAGCATGGTGCGGCTGACAGTGGGTGCTCTGCCTATGTGCACCGAGTGTCTAATGGGTTGGCTACAGAAGATGTCCCTATATGTAGAGCAGCCAAAACCTTCTGCCCATAGTGGGACTTTCATTTGTGTCATGTTAGAGCAGGTGAGACCCTTGGATGACAGTAGCGTCATTCTTATCATGACGTGGGCTCAGCTTATGATAAAAAAAGGAGACCTTTCAGCTCGCAGCCTGCACTCTGTCTGTCCCTGATGCTGCTTTTGGTTGGTAAAGCTCCCTCCTCTCACGCCGCGCCCCACCTGGCTCGCTCCCACCCAGCCCCGTTCCTGCTGTTCCTCTCACAGCACAGGCTTGCTCTGCCCGTAGATATCTGTGTGCAGCGCCTCCACTGACGGCAGGTCTTTGCTCAAATGTCATTTTCTTTTTGTGGCTACTTGTGTCAGTAAGACACACAATCACTAGTAGGAATATTTACATCTGAAGAGATTGATTGCAAGGAGTTGGTTTATGTGGTGGTCAGGGCTGGCTGGCCAGGTAAAGAATTCACAGGGCAGGTTGGCCAGTTGAAAACTCTTGCGAGGAGCTGATGCTGAGGTCCATGGATGGAATTTCTTCTTTCTCAGGGAAACCTCAGTTCTGCTCTCAAGGCCTTTCAACTGATTAGATAAGGACCATCTAGATTATAGAGTGTAATCTCTTTTCCTAAAGTCAGCTGATGGTAGGTGTCAATCACATCTACAAAATATCTTCATAGAAGCACTTAGTGTTTGACTGAACAACTGGGGATCATGGCCCTGCCACACTGACACATGAAACTAACCGTTATGGTTTATTCCTTGTCAATTTGGCACCCGTGTACATTTCCTTAAACCATGTTTAATCTCCAAATAAAGACAAAAGCTGAGTGCTGAATAATTGATGCTTTTGAACTGTGGTGTTGGAGAAAACTCTTGAGAGTCCCTTGGACTGCAAGGAGATCAAACCAGTCCATCCTAAAGGAAATCAGTCCTGAATATTCATTGGAAGGACTGATGCTGAAGCTGAAACTCCAATACTTTGGCCACCTGATGTGAAGAACTGACTCATTGGAAAAGACCCTGATGCTGAAAAACATTGAAGGCAGGAGGAGAAGAGGATGACAGAGGATGAGATGGTTGGATGGCATTACTGACTCGATGGACATGAGTTTGAGTAAACTCCAGGAGCTGGTGATGGACAGGGAAGCCTACCATGCTGCAGTCCATGGGGTCACAAAGGATCGGACACGACTGAGTGACTGAAATGATTGAAAGACAATAACAAAGTCATACTTCCACCTAACATGGTCCTCTTATCTTTTCTAATTAAACTTTTAATTTTGTTTTGGAATATAGTTGATTCACAATGTTGTGATATTAATAGTTTCAGGTGGACATCAAAGGGACTCAGCCATACATATACCTGTATCCATTCTCTTGCATATAATCAAAACATACCAACCCTCCCCCAGAGGAGGAGGCAAAGTCCTTGGGTGAGATACACGCGTCTCCTTGACATCCTGTAACTAAAACAGTGTGGTATAAACTTAACTCTTATCAGTACATCTTGTGTTAGATGATAAAGAAATAAGAAGGAAGAAAATAAAAGTAATAAATAAAATGCCTATACACACACATGCAAACATTCACAACAAAATAAGAAATACTCATAACTCTTAATCCTCTCCTTAACCTGCTCTGTTATTCTCCACTTAAGATCTCCCAATATACTCTGAAGCTGAAATTGTTAGTCACTTAGTTGTGTCCAACTCTTTGCAAAACCATGGACTATAACCTGCCCGACTCCTCCATCCATGGGATTTCCCAGGCAAGTGTACTGGAATGGGTTGCCATTCCCTTCTCCAGGGGATCTTTCAAACCTAGGGATCGAACTCAGGTCTCCTGCATTTCAGGCAGATTCTTTACCCTCTGAGCTACTAGGGAAGTTTACTTATTTATACAGTTTACTTATTTATTATATTTACTGTTCACTGATATATCCCAAGCATTTAAAACAGTGTTTGGCACATAGTAGATGTTCATAAGTGTTTTTTTTCCCTTAATTGATCAAATGGATAAAAGAAAGGAAGTGATGTTGGTGTTTTAGTCTACCTGTCTGACATGAGTAAGTGCTGATTGACTGGCAATATGAGGCAAACATCTAGGTCCTCTCCCAGGGGCTAGTAAATTTTAATTAGCCTGCCTAGAGGCTTATGGATTTTATTGATCTTTTCAAAGAACCAACCTTTGGTTTTGTGGATTTTCTCTGATGGTTTCCTGTTTTAAATTTCACTGATTTCTGCTCTAATTTTTTTTTTCATTCTGTTTAGTTTGGATTGAATTTACTCTTCTTTTTCTAGCTTCCTAAGATGGAAGCTCAGTTTATTGATTTTTTTATCTTTCTTCTTTACTAATAAATGCTTTCAATCCTATAAATTTATTTTTAAACACTGCTTTCACTGCATCCCACAAATTTTGATAGGTTGTGTTTTCATTTTCAGTTTGTTCAAAATATTTAAAGCTTTCTATTGAGATTTGTTTCTTTGATCCCACATGTTATTTAGAGTTGTTTAATCTCCAAGTATTTGGTGATTTTTCAGCTGTCTTTCTGTTACTGATTCCTGGCTTAATTCCACTCTGATCTGAGGACAGACGTTGTTTGATTTCTACTCTTTTAAATTTGTTGTGTTTTATGGCCCAGTGTGTGGTTTGTCTTGGCAAATGTTGCATTTGGGCTTGAGAAGAATGTATATTCAGCTACTATTAGAGGAAGTAGTCTATAGATGTCCTTTATATCCACTTGATTGATGGCGGTGTTGAGTTCAACAGTGTCCTTACTGATTTTTGCCTGCTGGATCTGCACGTTTCCTTTAGGGGGCTGTTTAAGTCTCTAACTATCATAGTGGATTCATCTATTTCTCCTTACAATTCTATCAATTTTTGCCTCGTGTATTCAATTCTATCAGTTTCTGCCTCAGGTATTCAGTTCTTTCAGTTTCTGCCTCTGGTATTTAATACTCGTTCTGTTGCTTGATGCCTATGTATTAAGGATTGTCATATCTTCTTGAAAAACCCAACTCCTTTATCATTATGTAATGCCATTCTTTTTAAATTTATTTTTTAATTGGAGGATAATTGCTTTACAATGTTGTGTTGTGTTTCTACAACAACACAAATCAGCCATAAGGATATATCTCGCCTCCCTGTCGAGCCTTCCTCCCCTCCCCCACCCCCTCCTCTAGGTCATCACAGAGCATCAGGCTGGGCTCCCGTGTTAGACAGCAGCTTCCCAATAGCTATCTCTTTCACACGTGATAGCCCAAGCAAAAAGTGGGCAGAAGACCTAAATAGATATTTCTCCAAAGAAGACATACAGATAGCCAATAAATACATGAAAAGATGTTCAGCATCGCTCATTATTAGAGAAATGCAAATCAAAATTACAATGAGGTATTACCTCACACCAATGAGAATGGCCAACATCAAAAAATCTACAAATGATAATGCTAGAAGAGAGAATCCTCTGCACTGTTGGTGGGAATGTAAGTTGATACAGCCACTATGGAGAACGGTATGGAGATTCCTTAAAAAACTAGGAATAATACTACCATATGACCCAGCAATCCCACTACTGCATATATACCCTGAGAAAATCATAATTGAAAAAGACACATGTATTGTAATGCCATTCTTTATCCCTGGTAACTTTTCTT